AACACAAACAAATAAAGTTTGTTTAGAATTTTTTTCAAGGGGTGAATCTCACGAAAGCAATTTAAAAGCCTATTTTAAGATTGAGATTTTTCATGACAATTATTTTTTACCTTGCAATTCTCATTAATGCAATGCAAAAAATATATTTTATTTAAACTGCAATATTAATTGATGTACGATGTATCTTTAATTTAGGCTTATTTTGTGTTTTAAAAATCACTATAACAGTAATAAGAATTTAATTAAATAAAAAAATTATCAATTTAGGGTTAAAATGTGTTTAAATGTCATGAAAATAGTGTCACAATGAAAGCATCTTAATAGTTCTAAAATAGGCTTTATTTTTTAATGCAACATAATTACTCATAGAATTTTAGGGGGGTAAATGATACACGGAAACGTTTCCATGAGATTCACCTCAAGAGACTGTGTTAAAATGAAACAAACATCCATCGTCACAGGGAGTGTGTTTGTATTTTTGGAGTCCTAATGTGCAGTTTGTGAGAATAAAGTTCTTCTGTAAGTGTGTTTGTGAAACGACGGTGTCTAAAATAGCATGTTTACAGTATCATGTTACAGTGTACTTACAAGTAAAGCATATAAACACATTCTGTCTAATTGCACTTCTGAGTGGAGTTATGGATTTCCTGTTTTCCACGTGAGCCATGCACAAACCGTCCTCCCCCCACATCCTTCCATAAATCTCCTGCTCTCTCTCTATCCTTCCCCTAAAAGCCGGGCATTCGTAATGGGGAGGAACAGAAATATGAACACAACTTCAAACTGGCAGCAGTGAAATAAGATCATGTCCATTTTTAACATAATATTCAGAGCCTGAAGCGTTTAACATCTCCAGCGCTGTGCAAAACACATGGCTTCCTGCTTCTGGGACTCTTAAAAACAGAAAAAAATCAAGAAAAAAAGTCAGTGCCAATCAGATCAGAGAGCGTGGCTTCAGAAGAATTTGTCATCAATGCGAAAGTGAGCTCATCCCCAGTAAGCACCCAATCAGATCAAGGGGGCATGGCTTCAGAAAAAATAATCAATGCAAAAATGAGGTTGCATGAGGTTGCAAAAAATGTGAGGTCATCTGCAGGCAGCACCCAATCAGATCAGTGGGCGTGGTTTCAGAAAAATGTATCATGGATGTAAAATTCAGCTCATCCCCAGTCAGCGCCCAGTCAGATCAGAGGGCGTGGCTTCAGAATTATTTGTCATCAATGGGAATGTGAGGTCATCTGCAGCCAGTGGCTAATCAGATCAGAGGGCGTGGCTTCAGAATAATTTGCCATCAACTGAAATGTGAGGTCATCTGCAGCCAGCGCCCAATCAGATCAGAGGGCGTGGCTTCAGAATTATTTGTCATCAATGGAAATGTGAGGTCCTCTGCAGCCAGTGGCTAATCAGATCAGTTGGGGTGGCTTCAAAAGAATTTGTCATCAATGCGAAAGTGAGGTCGCGTGACGTCGTCTGGGTTGATGAAGACTGAGATGGACTTCCCAGGATTCTCCGTGACCAGCTGCTGGAGTTTCTTCGCAAGACGGTCGTCTGGTTGCTGATCGGCTCCAGTTTCTAACAGGGGAGACAGGTTTGAGCTTCCTCCACGCCACTGGAGCTCCAACGTGAGTCGCGACGCGGCTTTTGCGTGCTCTATTGCACTTCGCAAGTGTTCTGCTGGGTCAGAGCGAATGGACGACAGCTTGCGTGCATGCAGCATGGCCGTGTCGTCGCTAAGGTGCTCTAGCATGTTGCATTGAGGGATAAAGTAATTCGGGCAGGTCTTATTCACCAAGCAATGCTGCAAGTCGTCGATCAACCCGAGCAAAAAGTGTGCGGCGTAATCTTCCTGCGCCAAGTACGTATGCGGCAGGCGGTCGCAGGCCCAAAGCATGAGCGAGCGCAGATGATACGGGCTGATGGCTTTGGGTCGAGAGAGAAGCTTAATAATCAGAGCTTTACAAGCCTGGTACGCCTGCATGAGACTGGAAGAGATGCACTTCTTCAGCTGCACCTCGCTGCGCGCAAACGACAAGCGCCATTCGTTTTCCTTCTGGCCTGTAGAAGAGCAGGCAGGCAGCAAATAAAACCCGCTAATCACTTCCTCCTCCGTGATTTTCCCGTCCCAAAAATGGTTCTCCATTAGCCAGGTTTGGGCCACCGCCGGCCAGCCTTTGAACGACACTACTGGAACCACATCGTACAGCATCCGACTGCCTCCGACACCCAAAATGATGGAGATGACGGTTGCGTTGCGCTCGACCTTCTCGACCCGCGGGACGCCGCGCTGCGGCTTCTTCTGAATCTCCGCCAGAACCATACTAATGGATTCGTAGAACCAGTCAGCCACCAGCGTGGGCGAGAAAAAGTAATTGGTGGCGCCATTAACATGGTCTACAACCGTGCAACAGTCCTTCCACTTGTTGATGGTTCCCTCGTCAAACAGACGCAGGCTGAGCCAGGAGTGGCAGAGCGCCGAGTGACGCATGTCTAGCGTGACCGGCTGGTTTCGGTCGTGGAGTTTGAGCGCGGGAACCAGTAACGTGAAGTCCATGTCGTAATCGGCTCCCCGCGCATATACCGTCAACTCGTCCAGATCCATGTCAACCACACCTTCCCGGACCCCGCCAGACAACAGCAGGTACTCGTTGGCAACCGGAAGCTTCTGGTCCAACTTCTGCACCATGCCTGAAAACAGAAAATTACATCGTTAGCGGTGTTGGGTGTAACTAGTTACTAGGGCTGGGCGATTTTTCAGATTTTATTGATTTATTCGAATTTAATGTTTTGCCACGATTTTATTTTTTAGAAATCGAGGAATCACGATTTTGAATAGAAATATTACCAAACGTCAGAATTAGACACTTTGACAATATGCCAATGATAACAGTAAAGAGAAAAGAACGATCCAACCGCATGTCGGCGAACGTGATTAACCGCTCATATCTCGAAGCGACGTTCGCACAGAATGCGCTTTTGTTTTGACAAAGATGCGACGCGGGCAGTGGAATAGGTAAAACATGCAAGAAGATGGGAGTGAACTTCTTTTAACTTGAGCGCCACGTTTTTAGAAAGAACGTTTCATGCATGAGACGCTGCAAGAGACCCGAGCGCAACAGTCAAACGCGTCAATGTTTATACAGAAAAAACTGTGGAAAAGCAGCGCAATCTAATAAAAAAAACCTGTAAAGAACTACTACTGCAAGTCTGGTATTTCATGTTTATATCATGGTGACAGGCTGAAAGCTGCTGTTCGTTGTTTTCACAGAACATTTATTGTTAATAGTCTACTGGTGTTATACCTTCAAAAGTCAGAAAGAGCTTTATTACAAAGTATGTTTACACAGACAAGGAATTTGACTAGTGACAGGAGCTTCCAGTGCAGAAGAACGTATGGAAATAGTGCAAACTAGTGCAGCAGACATAGGAATTACACAGTAGAGATGGAGTATAACACTAATATAAGAAAATTAAATAATGCACTATATACGGAAGCAGAAATATAGATAAATGTAACTGTTTAAACGAATGTACAGATATATTTACAAGTGTGCAGTTTACAAATGTACAATTTTGGATTCTATGTAGGCTATAAAGTCTTCAAAGAGATTTTTTGAAGCATTTTCATTGTAGCCTATTTCTAAACATATAACATGTATAAGACAAGTTTGTACAGGATGTAGTTGTAGTTCATGTATCTTTTCTGCAAAGATATTTAAGTGATTTGTTTAACATTTACATCATGTTGACAACATGTGTGGTGCACTTGGAATAGAATTTTCTTTAACTAGAGGGTTAATAAAGAAAAAGTTATTTGAATCATGTTGTAGTTACATTTTTAAGTTGACTAGTTAAAATCGTAAAAAACAAAATCGAGAATCGGTCAAACATTCTGAAAAAATCTAGATTTTATTTTTTTTGCTAAATCGCCCAGCCCTACTAGTTACTGTAATTTAATTACTTTTCCCTTGAAAAAGTAAAGTAAGGGATTGCTCTTATTTTTTCTGTAATTTAATTACAGTTACTTCTTACGTAGTTGAACTTAATACTGTGTAGAACATTTATATACAACACAATAGTGGATTTAACATCAAAATTTAAAGTCTAACCTTAAAATGCATGTTTTTTATCTACCCTTCTCACTTTAAACTCTTTGGTGAGTTAATAAGAATATTGGTAACACTTTAGTGTCCAATTCTCAATATTAACTAGTTGGTTATTAACATGACTACTACAGGGATATTGGCTGTTTATTATTACTTAAAAAGCACATATTAATGTCTTATTCTGAAGACCTTATTCTAAATCCTTAATGCTACCCAATTCTTAAACTAAATTGTCAACAACTACTTTACTAAGTATTAATATGCAGTAATTAGGAGTATATTGAGGCAGAAGTATACTTAGTTTATAGATAATAGTTAGTTAATAGTGAGAATTGGACCCTATAATTTAAAGTGTGACCAGAATAATTTATGTATTATTTATTTGAAAGAATTAAAAGAACCATTTCATGTCTATCCTTGTATCATTAACTTATTGAGGTTGATATAGGATTTAGAAAGTAATGTAATTAACTAGCAATTAATTACTTTTTTTGGAGTAACTTATCCAACACTGATCGTTATAGGGACAAATGTTGTGTACTTGCACAAAGTATATAAAACAGACTATTTCCTTGTAAAAGGGAATATACGTGACCCTCTCTGTGAAATCCAGGCTAAAGTCTCAATCTAATTATGAGATAATAAGCATCAAAGTTTGATTTCAACCATTAATTTCACATGGTCTTACTCAGTCAATATTAAAGATATCAATGTTACATTTTCACAGAATGTTCTTTACCTTATGATTTTATTAAGAAAACAGTAAATCACCAAAAAATGACTTTAGCTGGGTTTTCACAGCCAGGTTCACATATTTGACCAAAAATGCACTAAGATGTTATACAAGTCTTTCATGACAAAAGGAAAGTTATTTCAAGGGGGAAAGTTTTATTGGAATTCTATCCTAAAGAACGTTAACTGGAGACTGTTACTCTACAAATTTCGTATTTCAAAAAAGTAAGATAAATTCATTTAAAGATCTTGCATAAAATTTACCCAGACGATATTTTACTCTCGAAGTTTTTAAGAAAAATATGTTTTTGTTGAACTTACAATTCTAAGTTGAAACAGCTTGTACATCACATAATGATCAAAATGCTCAAATGACTACAAAAACAAAAATTATTCAATGCACCTATCATGTTTTGCAGCTTGCAAATTTTCTGATTTGTGACCCTGGAAGTCGCTGGGATATATTTGCAGCAATAGCCAACAATACATTGTATGGGTCAAAATTATTGATGTTTCTTTTATGCCAAAAATCATTAGGATATTAAGTAAAGATCATGTTCCATGAAGATATTTTGTACATTTCCTACCGTAAATATATAAAAACTGAATTTTTGATTAGTAATATGCATTGCTAAGAACTTCATTTGGACAACTTTAAAGATAATTTTCTCAATATTTAGATTTTTTTTGGACCGTCAGATTCCAGATTTTCAAATAATTGTATCTCTGCCAAATATTGTCCTATCCTAACAAACCATACATCAATGGAAAGCTTATTTATTCAGCTTTCAGATGATGTATAAATCTCAATTTCGAAAAATTGACCCTTATGACTGGTTTTGTGCTCAAGGGACACATTGGTTGAAACTCATGAAACCCACTTGAAATATTGTACAATATCATTCATGACAATTAAGCACTCTCATTAATGTAGTTGTCAAAACGATATTATTTAAATTAGCATTTTATATTTATATAATTATATAAATAAGTATTTCTGTATCACTGCATTACTTTTGATTTATAACCTGTAATTTAGTGTCATTTTATTATTATTTATTAAAACCTAATGTTAATTTTAAAAATTAAAAAGTAAAATGATTGTGATAATGTGTTAAACTGCCATGTTTTCATTAGATTCACCCAAAGAGACTGTGTGTCCGTCATCACCGGGTTTGTGTTTATGTGTATTTTTTGTAAGTCCTGATGTGCAATTTGTGAGAGTAAAGTTCCTTTGTGAAAACACTAGTTTCTGAAAAGTTTGAAATTTGATGAAAACCTAGACTTCTCACACTTGGTATTTGCTCTACATGCAGTTTAAAATGCAGTTTTATTATAGCTGATCAATGTTTTGCAAGAGAATAGGGAGGTGAATTAAATTTGCAAAGTGTCATTTTTGCACCTGCATAACATGACAAAATGTCATTGCGAAATAATAAATTTTCAAGTCTGTTTAACGAAATTTAATTAATGCGAACATCTTAAGCGTAGTGATTAATTTTCTTCAAATGGATGCACTTTGATGTCATGAGCGTTGCCACAAAAATGAACAATTTCCATGTTGTAACGTTGTTATTTCACAATTTCGGTAATTTTGGCGAGAGGTGAGCGCAACATTAGAGAGAATGAAGGGCATTGCTTCACAGAACAAAATTTCATAATAAAGCAATTGACAAAAAGGTTAATCTATAACCACAAGAGCAACAGAGCAAATGCAATAGAGTCTATAAAACGATTCCTACACAAACACAAGAACATTCTAGACAAGACACTGAGAGAAACAGCCAACTGACTCCTGAAGAAAACAATCCCCAGTCACACCTGAGCTCAAGCTCATGATTAAGTGTACATGCGCCAGCCAGTGACTCATGGGTATTAAAATCTCCCGTCAGCAGCAGAAGAACCTCCAGAGACGCTCAGAAAAACCAAAACAACTTAGTGTGTGTGTTTGTGTTTGGGCCCTGAAGATCTGTCACACCCCTCCAGAGGCCACAGCGAGTTCAACATTCAGAAATACACCTTCAGGCCCACAATTTGAGCATCTATCATAACAAGAGCACAGTAAACTCAGCTCAGCATGCAAGAGGGTCATTCTGTGTCGCCTCAACCAGAGGTCCCCGGCTAAAAATATTGATTTTGATCATTTTTTGCTGTTGAAAGAAGTACATGAATGAAGAAGAAAAGGCAAAACATTAAATATCATGGATGTATTTCCACTCAGTAATCCACTATTTTGTAGAAGGGGATCAAAATGACAATTTGAAAATGTGTATAATTTAACAATTTGTCGCACTGAGATCACTATATATAAAGGATTGAACCATATAAATGAGGATAGCAAAAGAAAAGTTTAGGAACCAGGATGTGAAAGTATATTGAGAGTACTGTTAATACTTTTCGAGTTACAGTCATGCAAACTTTGGAAAAAGAATATTTGTGGCACTCGGATAGGTGTGTTATATGCAATCATTTTGACAGAGGGAAACGAGGTATATTTCTATTTTCAACATTATTTGTTCTTCAGACATTACTTTTTTAAAGAAACAAGCATCAGCTGTATGCAAACAAAGTGACGCATATTTGGTTTTTGACCACTGAAAATGTGTACAATTTAACAATTTACTCCTGGAGACATTGAGATACCAATATCTCTGCTGAATTAGGGCATTAAAAATGCAGATAGCAAAAGAAAAGTGTGTTAAGAACCAAAATCGGTAACACTTTACAAAAAGGTTCATTAGTTAACATGAACTAAGAATGAACAATACTTCTACAACATTAATGTTAATTTTAGCATTTACTAATGCATTATTAAAAATCACAAGTTGTGTTTGTTAACATTAGTTAATG